AACCTAAATCTTTCATATAAAATTTGGCATTTAAAAGCTTCTTTATGGTTTGGTTATGGTCATGCGTGCTTCTGGTAATAAATATTATCAACACAAAGTAGTATGACCATCATTCCATGTGGATCAGTACAGATGAACAATGTGTAATCCAACTAACTATGCTAAAAGTTATGAGAGGTTCTCCTTTTATAAACTCTTAAACCATGCTCGAGATGCCTACTTAAGTCCATAAATCGCTTTGATGAGTCAGCATAGTTTTGGGTCACCTATTTTGCACCTAGATAGTTGTTCCATATAAACCTCTTCATATCACAATGAAGAAAGGCATTTCATCAAGCTACTGAAGATCCCCAACTGTAAGTGATGGTTAAAGAGAGGCCATTCAAATTGTATCCATTCTAATGGCTAAATATTTCATCATAATCCAAGCCTTCTGGAGTATATCCCTTTGCTACCAAGCAAGCTTTGAAGCATTGAATGCTACCATCGGCCTACTTTTGTAGACCCATTTACAACCTACCAGATTCTTATCAGATGGTCTATCTACAATCCCCCAGGTGTGGCCTTTGTGCCGCGGTTTTATTTCTTTGTTCATTGCTTCAACCCCTCAATAATTCATTCATGCAAATTTGAAACTGGAAGGTTCAGCATGTTTTTGAACATTTGTTAAGATGTTTTGCTGATGAACTGAAAATTGGCATAACTGAACCTCTTATCCACCAAACGTCACACACACATAGATCAGCGAATGGGGACAAGTGCCGAAGTGGAAGAAGGTTGAGAAAGGTTTGGTTGGAAGCAGTGGGGATTTCCACCTGTTGCGATTGAGATTCTTTGGGGATGAGACCAATATTGATATGTGATGACAGGGTTGGCCCAACTAGGGGGCACACAGTTGTTACTATTGCTGGTACTTGTGTTATGGAAGTGCTGAGGAGCAGAATCACTGTCACCAGCATTGTCGATAACCTCATGATTTTCAGAATCATCCCTTGCATCATCATGGCTCTGTTGTTGGAGTGAATGCTTTCCAGACAAATGCAAGGGGGTGCACAGCTAGAGGATGAGTTGCTGCTGCATGACCATCTTTCATTAGAAGCGTTTAACCTAGACTGCATGGCAATAGTTATGGACTATTGCAAAGAAGAATTAATTTTCTGGTTGGGAAATTCAACTACTTGTATACCAAGATTAGATGGTCCAATAGCAAATCAAAATTTTCCTCATCAAAAAAGGCATTTTCCTGTTAAAAAATGGCAGGTCTAGAGATGTAGATACACCGATATTTGATATTAAAACAGTAATCCCTTTATAATAATTGGTGTAGCCTACAAATCAATGTGCTGTGGCAAAGTTTTATTTCGCAAGGTGCTATCAGCATAGATGTAGAAAATGTGACTAAAAATTTTCAAGAAAGCATAATATCATTATGTCCATAGAGGATATGAGGCAATAGCCTACCAAGCACTTTTAATAGCAGTCGATTTATAATATAAGCTGGGATTATGGACTATGGATGGACAATATGTTATGCATCTTAATGTGTTATATGCCTCATTATGCATTTTTTAGTTTTTACACAGAATCTGGACCTAAAACAATTCAATCAGATGCCTCCTATCCTTCTTATTCCACTTGGCTTGCCGCCTAGTGGCCAACCTAGGTGTGAGGTGGCGAGCACCCCCTGGCCGCCTATGCGCCGTTTGGCATTTTTTGGAACACTGATAGGTGGCTGTTTGAAATGCCTCACGCCATACGTGAACGCTACTTTTGTTGATGTATTCCACCATCATGGAACTTGGTGGATTCTTTGGATGTAAGTTCACCACTACCATCACTATGAAAATTAATGACGTTATACAAGACTTGGTTTTTAACAAGGGATTTAAATTGATGGAAAATAGTATACACATTGAATTTTTGCTTGAGAAAGAAAATCCAAGTGTGTTGACTATTATCATCAATACAAGTAGCATAATATTCAGTGTGAGTAATGGATTATTTTTTTGTAGATCCCCCCTCACCTCATAATGTAATAACTCAAAAGGATAAGTTGCTCATTTATTATGAAAAACAAATGGAAATGCATGATTTTTACATAAATGACAACTTAAACATAAAAAATTAGTAGACTCAAAGTTAGACAATGAAGATGGCAATTGAGCCCATACCTCTGTCTTAGTTATGGACAACTTAACTAGGCACTTGCAAGATGAGGTACCGTGGTGCATGTTGTTGGCAGATTATAGTTTTTTTCTGGGTAAATAGAACAATATAATTTTGATTGATGAGACCTGAAACGACGTCAATACAAAGTTAGAACTTTAGCGGGATGCTCTAGAATCTAAAGGTTTTAAATTTCGCCAGACAAAGACATAGTATATGGAATAATAGTTTAGTGATAATAGGAGTAGAGAGGAAATAGTTAAGATTGACGGCTAAGAAATACCAAAACGAGCGCACTTCTGATACCTTGGGTTGATAATCCAAGAAAACGAAGAGATTGAGGAAGATGTCGCACACAGAACTAGAGCTGGGTGGACGGAGTAGAGATGTGCAATTGGAGTTTTATATGATCGCCACATATACCAATGAAGTTGAATGGCAAGTTCCATAGGACATCTGTGAGATCAGATTTGCTTTATGGGGCAGAGTGTTGCGCGGTCAAGAAAAAACATACTCATAGAATGAACGTAGCTGAGATGAGGATGTTGAGATGGATGAGTGGCAAGACAAGAAGGGATAGATTTCAAATGAATACATTTGGGAGAATTTTGGTGTGGCACCAATAGGCGATAAGATGAGAGAAAGTAGACTTAAGTGGGCTGCCTTTGTGCGGCACAAACCTAGTACAACACCTGTTCAGTTCAATTGGAAGGCCCAGAAAAGGTAGTGGGTAGGCCCAAAAGGACATGGTTGGAAGTAGTGAGATGAAGACTTATGGTCTCACTGAGGGTATGATCCTTAATAGAGCAGAATGAAAGAGCAGGATTCATGTAGTCGACCCCAATTAATTGGAAAAAGGCGTTGATGGTGATGCTGACAATGGCTTAACCTATGACGCCATGGATTGGTCATACCTTTATTAACTTGGACAGACCAATTGTAGACACCAAAACTGTAGTGGACTTCGAGTTACTTGGAGATGGTTTAGCTTCTTCAGGTAATAGAGATTCCCACGTCGTTCTACCCCAACAAGCATTTTCTTCATGTTTAGATTCTTCCCATTTACAAGAGTAAAAACAACGTAATAAATGGAATTATCATCTTACTGAGAAATGGACAAGATTAGGCTTAATGTGGGAAACAAGAGGGTATTTGTGAGGGATAAAAAATGCGGAGAAGAAAAAATGGAGCATGTTCTTTGTGAGTGATGAGATGAACTTCCCATGATTTCCATCTCCAGTGACAACAGTTCCTCTACATGATAAGGAATAAGCTAAGAGAAATTACGCACATTGTCTAATACATGGTTGGCTGCTCCTCAGTCAAGACTCCGTGATCTATTGTTCAACTGACTGTTACTCACTTTGGAGAATGCATGATCGGGGGCAATATATACTGATTTGTGGGTTGAGGCACAGGATTTTGTGCACCAAACTTATGTATGTTGAAGGTGGAATCATACCTATGTCTATAGTTGGCTGTGATATGATTTTGTTTTCCACGAAGTTGACAAACGAGGAAGGGAGATGGGTTGACTCTTCCCTGATTATTGGACTGATTTGAGGACCATGGCTTAGGGAGGAGCCCGTGATTAGCATTATCATTGTGACCAGGATTTTGAAGTTTTCTCCCTCTCCCTCGGCCACGACCATACCGACTGTGACCAAGTCCACGTCTAAAGGTGTTGGAGACAATCAACACATTGTGTCCTTCATTGGTGGTTGATTCTTTCAAACATGCATTCATAGAAATGAATCTAGATTCATGTTGCAAGAGTAATGGTGCACAATTCAGCAAAGATTGGTGTGGGAGTCCATGTCATGATTGAAGCAACAAAAGTACTATATTAGTGTGCCGAACCAGCAAGCGTGTACATAATTTTATCTTGATCTGAAACTGGATCTTTAATAGCTGCTAGTTGATCAGACAAGGCCTTAATCTTGTTCAAGATATCAGTAATTAATGAAGCACCTCGCTTGACTTGCTAAAATGCCATTAGAGTTAAATTTTGTGCATGTCCAAGGTAGTGGTACTGATTGGGACTGGTACAATAGGGTAATAAAGTGTCTCACGTGGACTGATCGCATTTCTAGTAACACACTTGCATGTTAAATGGATAAAAGAAGTCTCATTGCTTACACCTCTGAAAAATCTCAAAAAAGAAATGTGATAAATCTGAAGTTGCTCGTGTGTCATCATAGGAGTTTAGTCAACTTAATCTACTAGGTCTGACATAAAAAGCTGGAATCCTAGGGCCATAGGTCCTTAGAATAGTTTTAAAAGGAATGTTTTGAGGTAACTGGATATATATTTATGAAAGGTGCTTAAATATGAACTAAAGTAATTTGGGTGCTAATGCATTATTAAGTTCGCATAATTATGATAGGATCAAAGGATTTTCCTGATATGACTTGCTGCGAGAGTTAAAATGATATATACATGGATGCTCGAGTTTCCTATCCAAATAAATACTTTCTGTATGGAATTTTTACGCCATCCAATTAAGCCAACCTGAACATCCCGTGGGTGGTAGCAACCTCTACCGGGTTCTGATAAACAAATTGTTTGGGTTAGAAGGCTGTGCCTAGGGCTATGCTGAAGGTCCTAGTGAGCCTGATTGATCTCCAGTAGCATGTGCCAAGTGACGAGTTGTCTTTCTGTTTTGAGCCTATTATGTGCTGGTGACCTTTGTCTCATTTGCTGCATGATAAAATGTTTCATGAGTTGCAACATATATTTCAAGATTATGTGGGTGATTTTTGTTTTGTTTTATGCTTGTTTTCTGTACTTTCTGAGTTGTATTTTGATTATTTTATTTAATATGTTGTTTTTAGCAGTTCAGGATGCAAGTCAAGCTCAGCAGTCCTTGGAACTGAATACCACTTCATCTAAGTTTCGCCCTTGTCCAGGAGCTTCAGTTGGTGAGAGTTCATCAGTTGCATCTGGGGCATTATCTGTGACACCAGATTATGGGAGTGATAATACATGTGAAACTTCGGATATTGGGACACCACGACAAGGAAGGAATCATGGTGTCGATGTTGGATTCGATGATTTAACAATAGATAAAGATATAACTGCTCCACTGGCTACCTATAATTTAGGTGAGACGATGGAATATCTCCCAGTAACAGAGGGTGAAGCACTTCGACATGCGCGGAAACTCTCCATTGAAAGTGATCCAAGTGATGTTTGTTCCTTGAAAGGAAGTGAACGTTCAAATATGGGGGTCACTAATTCAATGAGTGATCAGGCAGAGCTTCATGGGGCTGTGGAGAAGCTTTCTACTTCTGAGGATTATAACAGTTGTGTGTCGCAGCTCCTAAGTGACATACAGATTGCACTTCCCATGGATCAACGCCAAAAGATGAATAGGGTTGTTATATCAATGCAACGGAGACTAAATACTGTGAAAACAGACATGGAAGACCTCATAGCAAGATTGAATCAGGAAATAGCTGTGAAAGAGTATCTTATGACCAAGGTGCATGTCTATGCACTTCTCCTCATTTTCTTTTGCTCGTTTTGATTCTTCAGCAAGCTTATTTTGTGTTAACTAGTTCATTGTCCATAACTCATCATGGGATTTGCTGATAAGCAAGATAACTAGATCAGAGGTACCCTGCTTCTATGCCTCAAGCTTAAGGCAACTTACTTGTGCTATTGTCCCCATCAAAGAGTGTGATCACTTATAACACGGCACCTTAAGTTATCCTTCACTTAAGCATATAAAATACTGTTTGATGCTTTGGCAACTTAAGCTATCCTTCACTTAAGCATATAAAATACTGTTTGATGCTTTGGCAACTGCTGAAGCCACTGGGCTAACCGCTCTAGCAATTGCTTTAGCTGATGTGCTTGATGCTAAGCTTACTGCTAAAGCTTTTGATACTGTGTTTGAGCTCTATTGCTTTCTACTTCTTAGGACCCAACTGGTATGGGACATGAAGGCATTGACAAATCTTGTTTGATAAGTGCAATAAGCACAATATAGATCTAGCAAGGGGCGACAAGAAAGTGATGTACTCTGCACATGTATCATCTTGAGGATCATTAAGGGCCCGGGGGGGTCGTTTGTGGAATTAAATAAAAAAGGAATTGTGGCTCTAGAAGTCTCTCTTGCAATATCTTTTAATTGCAACTGTATAATTTCCTCGAAACACATGGCAATCTTAACTCAAAATTATCTGCTACTGCTGCACTTTTTGTGCAGTATTTTGTGTAATTTAGCTATTGCGGAACTTTGCTTAACTCAATGCTTGACTGATTTCAACTTTGCTTCTATATTTTTCGAATCATCACATTAGCATTATTTTTCCAAAAATTCTGATCAAATCGTAAACCCTTTAACATCTATTACAGCTACAGAAAAAGTTCTGGTAGTTTATATTTGGGTACTGATAAACTAAGGGATTGCTATATTTATGTTATACAGAACTTAATATGTGAGCTGTCAGAGCTTAAGTTCGAGTTTTATCGTTCAAGGTACTGCAGTTCTGCAAAGGATTGATAAAAAGCATTCTGATAGTTTAGAATAGTGAGGGCAGGTTTTTCTAAATTCTACATTTTCACCATGATGGGATTCATGTGATTGGCTTTGATTCTCTAGTTCCCCAGCTTTCTATCTCCATCCATATAATGGTTAGAAACAATTTGTATCCCTTATGCTTGTTTCTTTAAAGGGTATGGTTTGTATAAGGCCGAGGTCTTAAACAATCATAGTAGGTTGCACCTTCTAATAGTGCCAAAATATGTTGTTTCAGTATTAGAAATCTTTATGATAACCTGAAAAAAAAATTTCATCTGTAATTATAAAATTTAAAGTTCAAAAATAGTGTAGATCGAGCAGATTTATGGACACTTGAAAATTGACAGTCTAGATTATTCATTACAAGATGTACTATTTCCAAGACTTGAAATCTATTTGTTCTCATGTCTATACATCTTGAGGTCCAAGACTAGAAATCTATTTTGTTTCATGTCTATACATCTTGATATCGAGATGATCGGATTGAGGGTTTTTCAGCATCGAAAACAAGCTTTTCTAATAAATTTTTGAGGTGACCGTAATTTGATTGTTTAGAGGCTTACCCTTATATAAACTTTTTCGTTCCTTAAATTTTTTTTTTTATAAATTTTGTTGCATTTATTTTAATGTTTTATTACTATTTTTATAATTATTAGTCATATTAGTTTGTTGTTGGGTGGACTATGAGGTTCTATTCTCATTCATATCTACCTTGCCCAACCCATTAGCACCATCCAGCAGTGGGGAAGGCAGCACATGTTTCCTTTCCAAATTCAGATTCTGCGAAGGCTAATGTGAACTTATAATAGGCATCCAAATCCAAGAAATTATCATCCCTCTACTTGCTACAAAATGTTCTTTTCTCCATAGAGAATACATAATTTTTAGATCCAAAGCTGTAGATTTTCCAATAGCAATAAAACTCTGGTGTCCATTTTTCTTTTTGTGAGAGTGACCATACTTTGGTCATTACAAGCTCCGCTTTCATACCTGTTGTGGGATGGGAGCATGTTTATTATGATTTTCGTGCAACACTGCACACAGTTAGCTACTGGTGTCGAACTGAACATTTATTTGACCGAAAAAATTATATTGTATATGAAAATGTCAAAAACATATTTGGTTAATTGTCAAAATCGTAACATTCCTTAATAATTAGGAGGAGGGATCTAGTGAATTTACATGAAAAGAGATCGATATCTTGCAGTGGATCGTGGACTTCTATGGACAATATAGTGAATCTTCTGCAGCTCAACAAGTGGGTCTCTGGGTTATTTTAATAGCTTTTGTATATGTGGCCTTAGTTGTAACTTGTAAGTATGGATGTGTTATTTTTTCTTTGGATAAATGTATGGACATGTTGTTAATATTTACATATGCTAAATCTCTTCCATGTATTTTATGAATTCAAAGAAAATCACAATCCTGCTAGCGTTACTAAATCAAGTAAAAGAAATGGGACGTTTATGCTCAGAACCTAATTATACCTTGTTTACTAAGTTCTGTTGGATGCCTTGGCATGGGCGTTGGTCGTTACCTTATTTTTAAACTTATTGTTTAATAACTTCTTGTTATCTTGATCCATCCAGGTCAAGGATTTAGATGGGGAGCTTGAAACTACTAAACAAAAAAGTAAAGAAAATCTGCAAAATGCTGTCTTAATTGAAAGGGAAAGGCTCACTCAATTGCAATGGGACATGGAGGAGCTTCGAAGAAAGTACTTGGAAATGGAATCGAAGTTGAATTCTGTGCAGGTGTTTTACCATTCCATCCAGCGCATTCTTGGCCTCTTGATTAGAATATTTGATATCCATGCAAGATATGGTTCACATGTGCTCTTGATTATTTCAGGATGAAAAGATTCACACTGAGACAGCAAATCAGACTGCCAGCCGAGAAAAAGAACAAATGCAACATGAGCTGGATAATATGAGGGATCAACTTAAGAACTTGGAAAAGGATCACAGAGAGTTAGAGCTGAAAGCAAAGACGGACACCAAGGTTCTTGTTAAGGAGGTTAAATCCCTTAGAAAATCTCAAACAGAACTCAAACAAGATCTACAACAGTCTCTGCAGGCAAAAACAGAACTAGAGGTAGTTCTAAACTTCATACCCTGCATGCCTTTGATGATTTTTTCATCAATAATGACATGGGGCCCTTTACCCAATCAAAATCTCAGACAAGGATTCTAATATCAATACATGGGTTTTATATGGGACTTAGAAATGTACATAGTTAAATCAAAACTTCTCCTTTTATTTCAAATTTTCCATGAGAAGAAAAATATGTATCAAATGCTTATCATTCAGAGGTACTCTGCTAGACATCTATTGATTATGTTTTTCTACTATCATTGTGTATTTGTTGGTCATAATGCACTAAAGTGAGTCAAGTGGGAGGATAATTTTGAGGGTAGCTGAGTGTAAGTTAAACCCAACTATTATAATGACCATTGAACTATTCTTCAGAGAATAGATGCATGGACTTGATCTAGAATTAGCAGTGAATAACCATACTGGACATGTACTTTGGTGAGTTCAAATATGTCAGAGATTCAGAGGACTAGTCATCAAACTGTAAAGGCAGTTTTTCCGGTCTAAACCTGTTCAAGAGCCAGTCCAACTGCTCAGACTGGTTAGCACACATATTTAAAATATTTTGAATAGCATTTGAACACTTCAACTGGTCCAGTTGATTGGGTCGAATCATGTCAAAATAATTTTTAGCATTTCATTTCTAATTTGACCATTTCAACTTGATTCTCAAGGTTTTTTTTTTGTTTTGGTCTTGGAATTGATCAGATCTGTTGATCGGTTGGTTCCAAACTGTCAAATCAGCTGGGTATGGTATCAAGACCAGACCGAAATGGTTGGTTGTAGAGAGTATGTATCATTTGGTATTTGTAGTTCTAAGGACCCATATGTGGGATTCTCTTTCTTTAGTATTTTTTTTTGTCATTCTTTAGGATTGTGTTGCAGCCCAAAATACTGCTCTTGAGTATCTGGATAAGAGAGACATGCTTAAAATTTACAAGAGGAACTGCAGAAATGAAAAATAGTCATTGAATTTATCCTTTTATGTATTTTATTTATTTTCTTGAGTCATTTTATTCACTTAGGGGCATAAGTATTAATTTCTAGTGTCTTTATGTCTTTCAATTCACTAAAAGTCTTTTATAATGAATGGCCGTGATTAGGTTCAATGGATGGCCAGGATTAAGCCCTGTTAGGGTTTTCTCATATAGGGGATATACTCAAGCATAATGAAGCATCTTGTTATGGTCTTTATTCAAAACCCTAGAGTAGCTAGTGCTCCATATATTTCTGGTTTTTGCATCTTTCTTCAATTTGGATCTCCCTATTTTCTTCTTGCTAAACCCTAGCTCCAAGCACTTAGGTCTGTGCCAGGTTGGTATCAAAGCTCGACAATATGTACCTGATGATATTGTAGTAGTGTACAGACAGTATTGTAGCACTGTACAGATGGTATTGTAGCACTATACAGACAATGCTGTACAATCGATTTTTGTGACCTAGATCAACAACCATGCCTCCACGTAGAGGAGGAAAGTGGCAATAGTAGAAGCCCTTGATGCTAGTTCACGAGAAGGGATTGCAAATTTGAGGAGATTGTCGAAACCCTAGCTCTGCATTTGGTGTAGATAGAAGCCCCATCTCAAGAAGATGAGATCTAGGCAGATGAGGGATCCATAAATCCCTTCCATGATCAAGATCCAAGGAGAGAGGTAGGTGATCATATGGATAGGGATGGTAAAGGATGGGAAATCGGTCTCAAGGTTGAGATCCCAGAGTTTTATGGAGGTTTAATGGCTGAGGAATTCATTGAGTGGCTGAATATAGTGGAGCAGAAATTGGATTTCAATGACGTTCTTGAGAAAAAGAAAGTACTTTTAGAAGCCATAAAAAACTTAAGGGCAGAGCTTCGGCCTAGTGGGAACAATTTAAGGTGACATGTACATGAAGAGGACAGTCCAAAATCACAAAATGGGAGAAGATGAAGCATAAGATGAGATACACTCTTTTGCCCTTCAATTACTTGCAAACTCTGTATCAGTGTTTAAATAATCTTCGCCTAGGAAGTAGGTTTGTAGATGACTATAAGGAGGCGTTTTTTCGTAACGAGCTTTCTGAGGATGTTGACCAGCTGGTCGCGCGATATATTGGAGGTCTTAAGCATTCTCTACAGGATGTGTTGAATCTCCACACCTTCTAGATCGTTTATGAGGCATATCAACATACCTTGGTGGTGGAGAAATAACAAACCTGAGGGCAACTCAGATCTGGAAATATGCCAGCTATAGGGGCCAGATCTGGGCTGATGATTGGACAGGCGTAGGAGCAGGTTAGGAGATTCCGGCAGCAACAATCCAAAGTCTAGAGAGGTGGCGCAGCCCAACAGATTGGGGCGTGATATTGGTGAAGCCTAAAACATGAGAAATCAGGTTGGTGGTTTGGCAATAAAGTGTTTCAAGTGCGGAGAGCCAAGCCCGTATTACTATAGGAAGAACGCTAGCCTAGAGGGAAAACAACTAGTGATTGAACGTGATGATTCTGTTGATAAAGATGTCGATGATGATCCTATTTTCAGTGATTATGGTGATGAAGAGGTCGTTGTTGCTCATGGAGATGTTTGTGTAGCATTAGTGGTTATATGGAGCTTCTTGGCACCAAAAGAGGACACACAAGAAGATTAGCTGCAAATCACTATATTTCACACCTCAGGTACAATTGGAGGAAGGTTTTGTACCATGGTGATTGATAGTGGCAGTTGTAAAAATGTTTTCTTAAAGGAGGCCGTGACAAAGATGCATTTGAGTGTGAAAGACCATCCATATCCCTACAAATTGTTCTAGTTCAAAAAGGGCAATGAGGTAACAATATTTGATTGTTACCTAGTTTCTTTTTCCATTGACCTACGCTATAATGATAATGTGTGGTGTGATGTCGTGACGATAGATGTGTGTCATATCTTGTTGGGGAAGCCTTGGCAGTATGATAGACATGCCATACATGATGGGGAAATAATATTTATACGTTTTGGAAAGATAACATGAAAATTATTCTTGTCCCATCTAAGGCGATTGGACCTAAACTTGAACACAGGGAGGATACCGATTTTCTTTTCTTTAGCCAGATTATAGAGCAAATGAAGGAAGCTGGGGTTGTGTTTGAACTTGTGGGGAAGGAGGAGCTGGTGAGTAATTTGTCCCTGAGGTGGTTGAACCCATAGTTGCCCGAATCTCTCACCGAAGGTTGCGATTCCGATTAGGAATCTGTTTTCGTGAAGTCTAGAATCTCGATGCCAACACTAATAGAATCTTATTTATTGATCCTCGATTCCTCAATTGGTGAATCTTGATTCTACACTTGTTGAAATTGGTTTCTTTATTTATTGGAATTCTATGACTTTGGCCCCTGACTCCCGGCCCTTTTTTTTTTTTTGCATCTTCCTGAGAAGTGACATTTAAAAGTTTTCAAGGCTACTACTCGAGCTGCACTCGATCTCAAGCTACAAGGTGTAGTTGTCTTTTTTGTCTTGAAATGATTAATAGAAACCAAAGTGGTGGTCCATATTCTCTACTTAATTATTTAAGTATGCATTGTATTAATCCAATGGAGAGATTGAAACTTCAAGATGTTAGAAATAATGTAATACATATGATGTAAACGTGCATGTATGGCATGTCGATCAATGAATGGATTGAGACATGTATTATTTGCCTCTTAGTTCCCTCTCGATGTCAAAGATGTTGGAGTCTCGATTCCATAAATGAAACAATCTCGGTTCCATATTGGTCGATTCCAACTTGGTCAAAAACTTGACTCCAAAGAGCTAGGAATCTCGATTCCTGAAAATAGGAATCTTGTCTCCTAAGATTCCTCTTGTATGGACGTCGATTCCGAAAACAGGAATCTTCCAGCTGGAGGTGATTTTGCGCTTCTGATTCCTAAATCGATTTGATTTTTGAATTGCTTCGGGTAACTATGGTTCGACCACTTTTGGACGAGTTTTGCGATGTTTTCACCTTGGAGCTACCCCCAAGATTGCCCACCTTGTGTTATGTGCAACACCACATTGATTTAGTGCTAGGTGGTAGCTTGCCTAGCAAGCTACACCAGTGTTTGCAAAATCGAACCGAAATGGTTAATCGGACATGGGGCCAAAAGCGGTTTAACCAGCCTAACCAATAAATCGGCCGATTCAACCGTTCTAACCGGGCTAGTCCTTGGCGGCCAAGAAGTTATTGAAAAAAATAAAAAAGATGAAAAAAAATCTACTAAAATATTAAAAGCATATAAAGAATGATTAAAACAAAATACATTCAAATGAAGTTGAAAATTATTGAAAAAATGGATTTTAAAAGTGAGTATTAATGACCAAAACAATTTTTAATATTTACCATAATGTAAAAAAATATCAAAAAATGTATTACAAATAAAATTCCTTTTTTTTGGGATTTTATAGACATTTTATAGACATTTTTTTGAATTTTTATTTTTAAAATACTGGTCGATCACCAAAACCGCCCGAAACCAGAACCGGAAAGGTGCCGGTTCCGATCAAACTGGGCAGTTACCGGTTAGATCGGGCAGTTTTTCAAACAATGAGCCACACTATCGAATGAGCTCACAAGAGCATGCAAACAGGTAGAAGAGTTATTGACCATGTGTTATATCAAGGAAAGCATGAGTCCTTGAGTTGTCCCACACTTCTTATTCTTAAAAAGGATGGCAGCTAGAGGATGTGGTAGACATTTGGGCCATAAACAAAACTATGGTGAAATACAGGTTTCCCATACCCTGGCTTGATGTTATGTCAGACCAGCTTGCGGTGCTCAGATGTTCTCGAAGATAGACTTAAGAAGCGGTTATCATCAAATTCGGATCAGATCTGGAGATGAGTGGAACACAACCTTCAAGACACGAGAAGGGTTGTACGAGTGGATGGTCATGCCTTTTGGTTATCTAATGCCCAGAGCACATTCATGTGAGTCATGAATCATGCGCTCAAGCTGTATATTGGTAGATTTATTGTGGCGTATTTTGATGATATTTTATTTTATAGCACATCT